GGGGGGGGGGGGGGGGGGGGCAGGTCCCTGGAGACCTTGACAAGAGCCTTTCGATAGAGTATTTGGAGCCAAGCTGTTTGGAGAGACGAGGGATTGTAGAGTTGGACAGAGAGCACAAGGGTCCCCCAAGCTGTCATCTCCCTCCTATCTCTTGTACCCTCTTAGGTACACCAGCTGCTCACATGGCTGGTTGCCGACAGAGAGCGAGTGCTTGGGCTTTGGGAGCCTCTTCTTCAGGCTGCTGTTTTGAGGTTTTCTGTTTTAATCTCTCCCTTACTTCCCTCTCTCTTCCTTGTTCATTTTATCCTTTCTGACTTTTGGAATTCATGTTTTCCTGTGTGTGAAGAGCTTATTTAAGGCTATGAAATTGTCTCTCGGTGCAGCTTTGGTTGCATTGCACAGCTTTGGGAATGTCATTTTTATTTATGATCATTTTGTGGGGGGAGGGGACTTTTTGAGAGGGGACCTCCTGCAGCCCTAGCTGACCTGGAGTTCCCTTTGTAGACCAGGCTGGCTTGGATCTCACAGAGATCTCCCCACCTCTGCCTGCCAAGTGCTGGGATGAAAGGTGTGTGCCACCCACCATACCTGGCTTATTTAAGATCAATTTTTAAATGTCTATCCTGAATCTTTACATTTTTGTTGTCTAGATGGCTTGTAATTTTATTCCACCCTCACTCCCTTAGACTCAAGAGTTATTTTAAAGAGTTCATAATGTCCTTGGTAGACTTTATGATTTTTTTCTGGTGTATATGCATCCGCTGTGTGTATGCACATGCATGTACATGCATGTAGAGGCTGCCGGGTGACCTCAAGTGTCTTCCTCAGTCACCTTCCTCCTTATTTTTGGAGCTCACTGATTTGTCTAGACCATGTGACCAGTGAGTCCCAGGGATCCCCCTGTGTCTGCCTCCAGCACTCAGTTACAGGAACATGCCATGGCATCCAGCGTTTTACATGGGTGTTAGGCGTCTGAATTCAGGACCTCATGCTTGTGTGGCAAGCACTTTACCAACTGAGCCCCAGCCCTTTATTTTTTTGTTTTTTTGAGACAGAGTCTTGCTATGTAGTCCAGGCTAGCCTGAAATTTGCAGCAATCCTCCTGCCTCTGTGTTTTGAAAGCTGCAGTTATAAGTATGTACCACTTAAACCCGACTTACAGTTTTGTCCACGTTGTTATATTATGACCAGATAATGGTTTATTTCTGCTCTTTTGAAGCTTAGGCCTGATTATCAGCTTCTGTGTGTGTTTTCAAGAACACTTGAATACAAGGTAGATTCCATTTCATAGACACTTGTGTGAGTGTTCACAGGCACACACATGGTTTCCTAAATCCTTACTTGGCCACTCCATCTGTAATGGAGAGAGGGGACTGGAATGCACTAGTGCCCGGCTGTCCCGCCTCTTTCCTTTCTGAATTCCCAGCTGTTCTGTCAAGCGAATTTTAGGTGCAAGCCATGTTGTCTAGTGCATAGGAATTCATTAGTATTGAACCTTCATGATGGCTGTTCCCCTTCATCTCTCCCCCCTCCCATCCCTCCCTCCCTCTTCTTCTGTTTCTCTTATTACAGTTCACATGGCCCAGACTGGCCTGCAGCTCACTATGTAACCAAGGATGGCCTTGAACTCCTGGGTCTCTGGCTTCTACCTCCCAAATGCTGGGATCTCAGGTGTGATCACAGGTGTGACTGCCATGCAGGGGACAAGCATCCAGCCCAGGACTTGGTGCAGGCTAGGCAAGCACTCTACCACCCGAGCTATGACCCTAGTCCGTGTTATTTCTTGCCTGATTTCAGCTTTGTCAGATACTCAGACCATGACCCCTGGTCCCTCTTGGCTTCCAGCTGTTTCTTATGTTACCACCCAGGCTTTCTTTCAAATGAGGTAAAGCTCACATCGCAGTTTACCCCTGAACCACCCTGAAGTGTTGGCTTCGGTGGTATCAAGTACAGGCCTCTCTGAGTCACTCCTGCAGTGCAATTTATCCAGGATCCTGTCTGAGCGTCTTCTCTTTTATAGCAAGTGTGTGTGGCTCGCTGATGTCTGCCTCTGTGGCAGATACACTGGGCCCATTTCTGCCATCCTGGTTTATGGATGTTTCTTCGTTTTTGCCTTTGGCGGGGGCTGTCAATTCTCCCCATATGGCCTGCATTTTCTTTGTTTTATTTTCCTAGTGAATGTGTCCTGATCATTTGGAAAGCTGTGTTTGGGTGCCATGGTTACCTCCATAATTATAATAGGATGTGATACGGTTAATCATTTATTTCTTGATCTGGTGTTGATTTTCTCCTTACTATGAACAGTGTCAAGATTCTCCGTCTCCCACCTCCATTGTTCCCCTTTGCCTGAATCACATTATTAAACCCTTTTGTCCCATGTTTCTTTGTGCCTCTGATTTGACTTCGACTTCTAAAGAATCCTTCAGACCCCCAGCTACAAATGAGTAAGACGCGGCTTATTTGCGCTGCCTCCTCCTCACCTCGGCTCTCCCACGCGGCATTATTTATACCCGCTCTATTTTCTTCTTCAGTCTTCTCTACGCTCATCAGAGCCCTTGGGCTTTTTCCAAACACAGATCCAGACCTAAAGGGCTAAAAACTCATTCTGTCCCTCTCCATGTGCCCGAGCACGTCCCCTGGTGATTTAAGAGGGGTTCAGAGGAACTGTCAAAAATATATTCAACAAGTTTTCCTGCTGGCCTCATATTTGAAAGATGGTCTCCCTGCCCTGGATTTGAATTTTTGGTTCATTCATTCAACAAATTATTTGTTAAGCCCTACTGGGTGCTGGTTGCTGTTCTAGGTAGGCCCTGGCAGTACAGTGATAAGGAAAACAGCCAATCACCTTTGCCCACTTGCAGCCCAATAGACCACCCTCCCTGTGTTGGTCACATTAGGCCATGTGATCACCTCTGTCTGCAAAGAAATGTGGGAAAATAGAATCTTCTTTTTTAAAAAAATATTTTATTAATTTTATTGTATGAGTGTTTTGCCTGAATGTAAGTGCACCCTGTGTGTGTGCAGTGCCCACAGAGGCTAGAAGAGGGTATCAGATCCCCTGGAACTGGAGTTACGGATGATTGTTAGCTGCCATGTGGGTGCTGGGAATTGAATCCAGGTCCTCTGGAAGAACAGGGTTTTTAACCACTGAGCCATCTCTTCAGCCCCCAAAAGTGAGTATCCGTAACTGGGTAGTTACCCTTTTTATAAATTCATTTTTTAAAATTTATTGTGTGTATAAGAGGGGTGTGTATGTCATGGTGTGTATGTGAAGGTCAGAGGACAGCTTGCAGGTGTCGGTTCTCCTCTTCCACCATGTGGATTCTGGGGCTTGAACTCAGGTCGTCAGGCTTGGCTGCAAGCTCCTTTAGCCACTGAGCCAGCTCACCGGCCCTATGTAGTTGTTCCTAGGATGGGACAGGTGACCTGTGTCGCAGGCATAGATGGAGTTTGTGTGTGTTCCTCGTCATGCCTGCAGCTTGACGCTCCACTCAAAGTTGTCAGTGCCCCGCAGGCCTCTGTCTTTGCTCTTGTCACTGGTGCAGGATGTCCTAGGTTCCTCTCCATGGCCTCCTCTTGTCTGAAGCCACAGAGACCTGTGCAGTGGTGTGATTCCAAGAGACACAATGGCATCTGTGTCTGTTTTGAATAATTTTTGGTTCGTTATACAAGGGTGATCATGCAACAAACATATTCCCAAAATCGGAGTATTCTTGAGGGCTAAAGAGAAAAGATAATTAAAAATTATGTCAAGCAACAGGCATTCACTAGGACTATCCCAAGCCAAGGTATATAGTCAAACTGGGATAGATGAACTCGATTTTGTCCCATCGGTTCATCTGATGTCTTAAAGTGTGAAAATTACATTTATCTCTGCCCTCTCTGTTCTAATTAAGTTGCCTGTTGGTTCTGTGAGATTCTCTAGGTGGATTATTTGCGGTGATTTGGTTCTTATAGTCAAGTTTTTTCTTGTCTTACTGTGTGGGCCAGGGGCTCTCCTACACGCAACCACAGCAGTGACAAACTTCTACAAAGGCCGTGTCCAACGAGCAAGCATGGTTTTTCACTCTCTCATCTCACACCTTTCTTTCCAGAAAACTCCTTTGCCGTGCCTCAGGATGGGGGAGGTTCGATCAGGAGCACCTGGGACGGCCTCCACAAGCAGCTTCCACCCAGACACCAGGGAGAGCCCGGGCGGTGACGTCGTGACAAAAGAGGAAACAGCACCTGTGCCCGGAGCCCCCGTCCACGGACTCCTGGGATTAGGAGCAAACTCAGGGGATGGAGACAGGGTGCAGGAGAGGGGCTCTGAGCCACCTGTCCTCAAGCAATAGTTCTCTTCTGGGCCGGTGGCTTCTGAGAAGCGACTTGGTATAGAGTCAGATGATCAACGTGAAACCACCCTGGCTGATCCCAGCCAGGATTTCGGGCTCTGAGTCCTACCATGGTCCAAACACTGAAGTTTTCCCTGCCTCCACTACCCCCAATTAGTGGCCCCTTAGGCCTATTCGTGTCAGAATACTGTGTGTGCGCGCACGTGTGTGATTCTGGGTTTTATTCTGTTTGTTCGTTCAGTTAGTTTTTCATTGAGCTTCCCTGCCACTGGCTGCAGGTTCTGATGGGCACAGGTTACCACAGGGCTGGGGAGCCTTCCCTGTGTCCTTGTCTAGGGCTCAAGCCCCTTGCTGTGGCCAGGAGATGTGAGTCAGTGGAGTCAGCTGGCACAGGGTCCAGACTCACTGTGTTTAGGGGGCAATGAGGACTGGAGAATACCAGTTAGTTCCTGTACGAGCAGTAATAACAAGGGGCAGGCTCTGCTGACCTCCGACAGCCACCAGCTTGGTGCTGTCACAGCTCCTGGGAGGTAGGGGTGGCTAACCTCTGTGGAAGCAGTTCATTTTGGGAAAGGGTGCCCGGGTCACATGGTGAGGGGTGGCAGGAACTCAAGTTCAGGTTTTTGAACCTTGGGTTTGATAGGCTACACAAGCTAGGGCCCCCAGCATGGTCAGTGGAGCATGTGCCCAGTGCCCTTGCCGTGGGTGAGGCATCCCCTAACAGGTTTTCCACCATCACTGCCTGAGCCTCATCCAGCAGCTCAAGCTGATCACATGCCTATGCAGTGACAGGCCCCATGTCAGATAGTCATAAGATCCAGAGGTGAGTGGGGCCTGTTCCACCCTGGGGCACCCCAACTAGGAGAGAGAAAGCCACACGGACAGGGTGAGGGGCCTATGGAAACTCAAAGCAGGAGTTTCTAGAAATCCACCCACTTTAACATGGGAGTGTCCACATAAGTCTGGATCTATGGCATCTTTTATAAGCTCATCATTCCTGTCCCAGTCCCGCCACCCTGGGACACAGAGAGGGAAAGATACCCTCCAGAAGTGACACTGAAAATCCTGGGGGGCATTCTGGCAGGGTAGACATGGCTGTCCCACTCCTGGGAATGAGCTCAAAGTGTCCCCACACTCAGCCCTGTGATCTGTTCTTCCAGAGGCCACATCCTCACTGAACAACCAGTATCCCCACACTGGTCAGCCACTCACCTGCCACACGCTGTGGGGAGCCAGCAGGCTTCTGCTTGTGGGGACTGGTCAGAAAGGAAGAGGTCGGCATGGAGGTGCCCTTGGGAGACCCAAATGGCATACCATCAAAACCGTGTGAGGCTTAGGTGGTCAGGGATGATTAAGTCCAGGTCCAAATGACAGGTCAGACCTGTCAAGAGCTCTAGAGAGGAGGCACACATGTGGGCAGAGGACAGGCCTGATGAATTAATGGATGTAAACAAAGCCAGGATGGCAGGGCCCAGCAGGCAGCAGAGGTAAGCAGACCCTAGATGCACGTTGTCTTGGTTAGCGTGCTGGTGTACGTACACAACGCTCCACGTTGATACAGCAGAATGTTCTGGAACATAAAGCTCTTTCTAACCCTGCCTAGCTCTTTGTCCTCTCAACCCCACATGAGGGAGGGATGACCCTTTGGTTGGACTAGGAAGTTGGTGGACTCAGCTGGCTTGAGAGGCCTTGTGGGTCAGAGGCCTCTGTCTCAGCACCCAGCCTGTTTCCTCCAGAGGCGCCACTGTGCCGGGCTTGTGGCCTGGAGGGGTCTGTGCTCAGGGTGTTGCTTTGGGATGGGGTCCTCCCCTCCCACATTGAATCATCCTGAGAGAACTCCAGTACTGCATTGTGTGGAACAGCAATTGCCCTGGAGAGTGTTCATTGATGGACAGCTGGGTCAGCCCTCACCTGTGGCCCTGGGCAGAGCTTCTGCAGTCAGAGGGGTTCCAGATACTGACAGCAACTCATCATGGGGTTGCAGGCAAAGCCTGGGTCTCCCTGCCTCAGTTTCCCCAATGGTGAGGGGGAGGAGTCAGACTAGATGCTGAGGAGACTTCCAGCTTTGTATGACTGTGACTGACTCTCCTGGAGAGCTACGTCTCTGCCTCCCTCCCTCCCCAACAGGGGGCCATGGCTACGCAGAACATGGGAGAAGTGCCCTGGGTCCACCCAAGCATCTTAGGGGAATCACAGGAGATTCCCTTGTTACAGAACAGAGTAGGACACGCCTATGGAGATTCTAGTCAAGGGCTGAGAGTCTGGGTGCTGTCCAGCATGCAGGAGGTTCCCATCCCCAAAGGTCAGAGGTGATGACATTCCAGGCCCCAGGCCCCAGCTGGGTGACCCTATCCCACCCACTGCCCAGCCTTTCTGAGCCTCCCTTCCATACCTGGCCAGCCAGGGGTGCGGTCTGGGTCCCATCCTGAACTGGTATTGGGTGGCCCTGATAAAAATCTGTCCCCATTTCACGGTGGCTGTGGCTGGCAGGTATAACAATTAGTAGCATGTCCTAAAGAATTCAAGGAGCAGAGAAGCATTCTAGAACAGTTCTAGACTTGTCATTTCTGTACCTACCAGTGGCAACTTTTCCATCTGCCTACGTTTCCTCCTTCCAGTTAGCTTCCACCACAGCCCCTAGTCTGTAACAAGTAGCCCCTAGGGAGCAGAAGTGGGTGGTAATGCTGCACTCCCAGCTTGACGGTGTGGCATCCCCATGTCTGTCTTGACAATTTCCCACCCACCGGGAACCCTGTGTCCTTAGTGAGCTGTCACACCCTGTCGTGTGCTCTGCGTTCTGGAACCTCCTTTCAGAACCCCTCACCAGCCAGCTCCCAGCTGGCTTCCCTCACCAGGGAAGCAGCCTGCTCACATCTGTGGGAGTGGCCAACCACCAGGCCAGCAACAGTGTGCAACAGGCCTTAATCCAAACATGCGCTTGTGCCCCCCATACACATACAGATGCACACCCACAAGTACATATGTATAGATACACGAATACATGCAGCTATAGACATGCAAACACACCTGTGTGTGCAACTGTACATGCTCATGTGTCCACACATGCCTACTCATGAATGCACATGTGTATACATATACACACATCCACATGTGAACACATGTACATGCACACCTGTGCATGTACCGTATACATGCCTGTGTCCACACATGCACAGCTGTGAGCACACATGTGTACATGAGCACAGTTGTGTGCACCCACATACACCCACACATGAACACACACCTGTAAATACAACTTGCACATGCTCACATGTCTACACAATTCTGATCTGGCCCCTCACAGGCTATGATACTGCAGGCAACAGTGGGGGAACGTCTAGCACAGACCACTTCCTAGGTCATCAGAAAAACCCCTCCAGCCAAGTTTAGCTTCAGAGTGGAAAGAGAACTTTGGGCATCAGGAAAACAGGCGGAGAGGAGGGTAGAGATTGTCTTCGACCAAGTGTTGGCACTCAGCCCATCTGGTGCTCCCCGCCAGGTCCTTGCAAATAAGGATGTGACTGGCCATGCCCTGTGCTGATGGCCACCAGCCCCCGTCCATACCAGGTGGACATCTGAGCCCCACATGCCCCTCCAGCCACTGTCCCCTGGGATCCTCCCATCATACCTGGTTGCTAGTTCTACAAGAGGTTGTAAGAGGACCAGGTTTCCCCAAACCATGGGCTTTAAGATGTCTCTTAGTGGCTTGTATTCTCAACTCAGCCGCTTGGCTCTCACTAACAGGAAGAGTCTGGGGTATAAACTTGAGATTACCCAGGCATCCAGGCACACATGGCCTCCTGGGCATTTCCTGTCCACATGAAGGGCATTTCCAGGCCAGGAGCCATGGCAGGCTCCCTCTACCAGGAGACTCTGGGCTGAGATAGTGGACTTTAGGGACTAGTCACGCAACAAGCACCAGTGATCCCAAGGACCATCCGATGGGTCAGAGGGCTGCCAGGTGGTGACAACACAGAGCAAGGGTGGTGTCCTGTGCCCTCCAGAAAACAAGCCTTCATGCCCACTGTGCATCAGGACCATCATGGTTCCCCATCCCGCCCGCAGCCCTGACTCTCTGTGCACTTCGGAAGGGCTCAAGGTTGAAGGTGGGTGACTGGGACCATCAGGGCAGGGACACCCAGCACACACACTTCACAAGTTGCTTGTGTGCAGCAGACACTTGCTGACTACCCGCCACTGGCCTGCTGTGAACCCAGCATCTTGGAAGCCCCTCCTGTGTAGACAGATGTGTCAGAGAACACAAGTGACCCCAAGAGAGGCTGAGTTCCACTGCTGCTGCTGTGACTAGCCATGTCTAGTAAATTAGAAACTCTCCAACCCACAGAATAAGGAACATTTATCTGTCCTGCCCACATAAGTGACCTTGGAGGTGGGTCACTCCCTGCCCCCAGTTTCCAGTCCAAACCCCTGCCAGGTAGCTGGTGCTAGAGATGCTTGGTGGGTGAGTGAACTTAGTCATTAGTCACTCTGTGGCTGACACTCCTATCTTCATGTCAAAACCTTGACCTGTTTGCCCTTTACAGACTGAACTACAGGGCTGCCTGTGGTACCCGCCCCCCAGGAGGCAGCCTCCACAACACTGTCCGTCCAAGTGGTAACAGGGACAACTGGAGGGACAGTGACTCTCCGTCTGGCCAGTGGCCTAAACCATCCTCCAAATGTACAGGTTCTCTTGCAGGTCATATCAAGCTGGGACCAGGAGCTGCAGTCACAGGCCCACCCTGGGCCTCTCGTGTGGTTACAACTGGAACCCGACCAATGTGGGTTCTTGGACTTGTGCCTCAGTTTCTCATGCCAGTCTCTTCTGTGTTCAAACTAGGGGGAAACGTCACTGTTTGATACCCACAGGTGAGGGTGTGGGCAATGTGCAATAACCAATGGGGCTGCAGGGAGAGGGTGGGGTAACCGTAGTGAGGCAGGGACCTCCCTCCAAAGGACACGTGTCCTCCCTGGGTCAGGGGGACACGCCAGTCAGGCAGGGGTGAGGCAGGAAGGATTCTCTATTTTAGAAACTCCAGCCTTGTGTTTAGTGGGCATGGAGTCTCCCTCAGAGCCGATGACTGGGCAAACCAAAAACTAATATTCCTCCTACTACTAATATAATAATAACGTGTTTTCACTGACCGCTGTTGCGCTGTGTTTGTCTTTCTATACTGTAGTTTTTATAACGACATCCTTAGTTTTAATAAAGGAGAGTCATGTTAACTGTTTCCTGGCTTAAAGTTGGCTTTAATGTTTCGATATGTCCTCTGGGAACCCAAGCTGTGCTGCTTATGGCTGTGGGTTGAGGAGGGAGAGGACCAGGGTCTGGGATTTCAGCTGAGGGGAATACGGTAGTGGTACTGGGGGATCCCATCCCATGAGTTCATCGCAAAGGGGTGGGGGGGTAGGGGTGGGGGGCATTGTCCAAGTCAAGGGCAAAGAGAGAGGCCAGGCAGACCTGAGTGGAAAAGAGATCAGAGGGAGGCTCGTAGTTGGGAATTGGGAGATAGTGTGCAATTAGGTCTCTCCACCTGAAAACTCAGGGTCCAATGACAACTTACCAAGGTATATGTCCATGACATTTAGAGGTAAGACCCCAGGAGGCTCTTTGGGACAGATGAGGTTATAGGATAGCTATAAAATGAAAGAGACCAAGTGTGGACTGCGGGCTCTGTCCGCTGCGAGTTTCCCTCTGACAAGTCACAGTATGGAGGACCAGAGCACGGACCAGTCGAGCTGTCTCCTGCCAGGTGCTGACTGCCACGTTTCTGTTTTCAGGTGCCCAGGAGGTGCCAGCTCTTGGGCCCACAACCCCCAGACCTGTGAGCAATAACCTCCTCTGTAAATCACTCAGTCATTAGTGTGTTGTAGGGGCCAAACCAGACTTGAGTGAGTACATTTCATACTAAGACAAAGACAGTTGCTCACTGACCACCCTCCTACCGCCAAGGCCTGGTGGGATAGTCCCTGAGGAACTGGGGGTCCCAGAGAACCCAGGCTGGCCAACTTCAATAGGTGTCTACCCCAACCTGCTCAGTCTCTGTCCCCGCTCCCCAAGAAGATTCCCTGCTCTGGTGGCCTTCTGTGGGGCTGGCTCTCTCAGTGGCCATCTCCTCCCTGACGCCCAACTTTGGGGATGTTACAGAGAAAAGGGACAGAAGAGGCCCAGGTGGAGAGGAGCGGTGAGGGGGGGGGGCGCACAGGACAAGCATGGACAAGGGAGGGGGAGGATGGAGGCAGAAACAAGGAGAGAGGGTCCTTGGGGTAAACAGTTTGGGTGAGGCAGCCTTGCTGCCTTGGGCTCTTTCCTGGGTACAGTTTTCTGTTGAGAGGACACGGGGTCTGCTCTGTCCCAGACCCCAGGTGAAGAGGTCTAGGCCTGGATGCAGCCCTCACACACAAGCTCCCACACATATAACACTGTATGCACCATGCCTCTTTAGTCAGTACCAGGTTCTTGGAAAGCCGCTGTCCCTCCCTGGAGTCTCTCACACTGTAGACTAGAAGGACTTAAAGACACTGAACCAGCCGGGTGTGGTGGTGCACGCCTTTAATCCCAGCACTTGGGAGGCAGAGGCAGGCGGATCTCTGTGAGTTCAAGGCCAGCCTGGTCTACACAGTGAGTTCCAGGACAGCTGGAGCTACAGGTAGACCCTGTCTCAAAAAGACCAAAAAAAAAAGACACTGAACCAGCTTGGCTTTGGGGACCTCAGGCCCCAGACAACCAGCAGGCAGTAGGGGGGGGGGTGGGCAGGTCCATCCTCTGGGTCAGTCAGAGGGCCTTGGGCATGGAAGGAGAGCCAAGCCCAGTCCCTTGGCTGAATGATGGCAACATGTTGATTTTCCTTAGTTTGAGGGGACAGAGGCTCCTAGCCTCTAACTGCCGAACCCTGGGACAGGCAACTTGGTGCTTCCCTAAAGAGATTATACCCCATAATCGTATAATCAATGACTGGTTGATTGGGTGTCCCCAGTTAGACACTCACACTCAGTGTCCAACCAAGGGACTCTGAGGGGATCCCTGTCCTCAACCCTAACAGGCATGCACCACCCGGAACGCAACATCTAGGCCCCAGCTGCCCTTCATGCCACCTGCCTCCCTCCCTCCACTGGAACTCTCTCTCCATCCTCTGTATGGGACCATGATCATCACCACTCACCAAAGGACAGGAACTCACTGGGCTGTGCTCCCTGAAATGGCTGCTGTGTCACACACTCCAGAGAACATCCAGAGCCTTGGACAGTCTGTCCTCAGTTGTCCCCACCATGTCAGCAAGGCTACCTGTTGGGGACTCTTGCTGTGTAAAGTAGCAGTTTCCCCATGTCCGGAAAGCCCACGGGCTCGGATTCAAATGCAGAGACTCCTTTTATCAGCAGGGTGCCTTCCCAGCATCTTCCTGACTCATCTGTGAAGTGACCGCCACAGATGCCCTACCATAAACATGGCCTCTGGCTCTGAAACTGCCAGCTTTTCCTGTGTGATTTTCAGACAATGTCTGGCAGC